CCAATCAGAAAGGAAGGGGGAGGAGCTTGCGTCGTTTTTTTCCGGTACCTCTCTCTCTCTCTTTTCTGACAAACTCCAGACAATCACTTCAATGTGTCATGTGCCGTTTGCTTTTTATGGTGACAGCTGCTGTGGAAGATATTTGCTTAACTCGGAATATTGATTCACCTTCAAGGAACTTTCTCTTTACGTATTGAGAATGAAATAAGCAGTAAAAGACAGACTAACTTTCATTTCTGTCAGATGTGCTTTTTGCGCTGTCTCCCTTTGCCAAAGTTTTACACATAGATTCAAGTTAAGTTATTCTTTCTTGTCCCACAAATCAAAGTTGTCCTCTGTGTTTGACCCGTCCTGCAATGCCCATAGTGACTTCTGCTTGGCTTGGTCCAGACTACTGTAATTTTTGACCTATCTCTCCATGTTTTTTAGTGGTAGGGGAAACCGAAGCGCGGAGAGAACATGCAAACTCCTCTCAGAAAGGCCCTGTTCCTACTGGGATTCAAACCCACGGCATTCTAGCTGAAAAGCAAGAATACTCTTCACTATTGTCTGGCATTCAAGGGATCAGCTCTCAACAAAACATCAGTTTCACCTGCCACCTAGCTCCGCCCCCTTTCTCTGCACAGTGATTGCTCTCAAACAAATGTACTCCTAATCTTGTATGTTGGGTTCACACATGTTCTGTCACCACGAGTTAAAAATGTCCAACTATGAGGAAGTTATTACAGTAATTTTGCGACATGACGACACGAGTGACGAGAAAGTAGAAATTCCAAGTAAGCTTAAAACTGTTCCCATAATTGCATAAAATGAGCTTGCGGTGTGAAATCCAGCGAAAAGGCAGAATATACATTGCTAAAAATGATCAAATGTGAGTTAATAATTGGTTGAATCAAGTGTTTGTATCTTAATTTGAGTTCATTCTGACTGACACAAGATTTGCCAATGGGATAAAGCCCTGTACACTGCAAAAAATAACAACAAATAAGGAAATAAAGGCTTAAATCAAGTGTTTTTATTCTAATTTCAGCACATTTTGACAATCTAAAAACAAGATTTGCCATCGGGAGAAGCAAAAATATCTTGTTTTCAAAAGATAATGTCTTCCTTGGAATGAGACATAAATGAAGTCAAATTTAGACAAAACCCCTTCATTCAAGCATCTGTTACCTCATTTTTGCCATTTTTGCAGTGTATTATGTGTCTTTTTAAAACAAGATCACTTTGCTTGTCCCGTTGACAAATCCTGTTTTAAGGCAGTCAAAAAATGTGCTCAATTTAAGATACATTTAGCCAAAATTGAGCAATCTTGAACATATTTTTCAACATATTATAAGTGGTTTGACATCCAGAGAGAAGGCAGGACTTATGGGAGCTCCATTTGAATTCTGACGCAAAGCCGACGGAGAAAAGCCAAAAATAATGATCATTGAATAGATTTTACAGTGTTAGCTTAAATGGCTATAGCTAATTACATCACTTGCTATGTTCATTTAATAGCGCGATGCTAATAGTTGTTTATTGACGTTACTTTTATGCATACAGCGTGCAATCCCAGAACCACCCTCAGAAGAAGCGCTCGATAATGACCTTCCCTCGGCTCTCGGCTTATCATGGCAGAGTGAAAGATGTTGAGCGAGCCGGAGGGAAGGAGAAATTAATTTAGAGAATGGACTTGGATGAGAGATCGGGCTATGAACAAGCAAAGACATTTCATCTTCTTAATTTTATGGCGTAACTCTTGTTGAAAGGGATATTGGATTATAGCACATTAGAGGCGGGTGGTGATTGCTTCAATGATGAAAGAGTAGGAAGCGGGTGTAGTTTTAGCTTTTTTTGTCTTTTCCATTTCCAGTGTAAATCAGGTCTGGGTGAGAAGTATTGTTGTTGTTAGCTTGACTCTTTCGAAAAGCTAAAATTAAAGTTTTTGTGAAATATAAAAAATCTCATAGATAAAAATCAACCACAAGTGAGTAGATCCAAATGACATGTTTTTACCCCAGAACCAGAAAGAAACTCAACATCCAAAAACACATGGAAGTAACACAATGTAAAACAGTATGAACAGGCTTAAAATGTTCACAAAATTCTTGACTTGAGTATAATTACTGCGTAAACTTAGAGAATTTACCATTAACTCTAAGATTGTGCTTAACTTTTATAGCTGCACCATTGAGAGTTTACTTGTTGGTTCTGTGTCTGTGTGGTTTGGAACCATCACAGATAAAGAAAAGAGAGCTTTAAACAAGGTGCTCCGCTCTGCAAAGAGGACCGTGGGCTGTGAGCTTCCTGTTCTGGAGGTTCTTTATAAATCCAGACTTTTAAACAAAGCTCTTAGGATTGTTAATGACTCTTCTGGACACCCTGGGAAAGCCATGTTCCAGCTTCTTCCCTCTGGCAGAAGATATCGCTCTCTGAGATGCAGGACATCTCGTTACGCTAACAGTTTTTATCCACAAGCTGTTATCAGTGTGAACAGAGCACTTTAATGATTTGCACTTGTTTTGAAACTGTTTTAGTCGATCGATTTCACAGTGACATTGGTTTACTGTTTTATTTGTTTTATTTCTGTCTTTTAATGTTGTTTTATGTCTGTATTTGTCTGTGCACACTGGAGACTTTTTGCTAATGTATTCCAATTTGTTTTTTTTTTTACTGCAAATGGCAAATATACTGAATCTGAATTATAATAGGGATAATTATGCATAGGGACCCAAATAATGAATCAATGAACAAATCTGCACATGTTGCACACACAAAAGTCAACATTTTCAAATCAATTAAAGCTTCAGGGTTCCTCGTCTAGATCTTTTTATCAAAACCCTTAACCCCAAATTTGAGCACATTTTGACTGCCTTAAAAAAGATTCGCCAATGAGACAAGCAAAAAGTATCTTGTTTTAAAAAGATAGAAGAAATGTCTCCCCTGGAATGAGAAGATAAAGCATCAGTTCTTGAAAGAAATGGCTTTGTCCCGTTGTCAAATATTGTTTTAAGAGTCCGAATGTGCTCAAATCAAGATAAAAACCACTTGATTCAAGCAATTATAACCTCATATTGTATCATTTTTTGCAGTGAATTTAAACTGCTTAGGATTTTCTTGTCTAGACCAATAGATTTGTTTTCATCTTGTGCGCATGCTTCCTGGTGTTGACGGGGTCTGCAGTGAAAGTGTGAATGTGACGACAGTAAACTTGCCGCCTTCACATCTGGAATGCTTTGGTTTATTCAGCGTGAGCAGCTGGGGTCAAGAGCAGACAGACATATTTGGTAGATGAGATGTTTATTTACACACGGCATTCACTCGCGCACAATCAACCAATCAGTGCTTTTTTCATTTGAGGCCATATGTAAGACAGTGGGCCCCGTATGGCAGATAAAACAAGCACATACACACACATCGTGTTTTCAGCCCTAACTGCAGATTGTAATGTGTCAAAAAGTGTGTCCATCTTATGCTAGCGGTGTCATTTAGCCCGCTGTATTTTCGATCATTCGTTCGTCCCGCGCCCCCCACATTGGGAACCACTGCAGTAATCTTACACGATCGGTCGGTACACGTCTCAGCGGTCTTCGCAAACACAAAAACAAGAGGCAAAAAGTGTGCACACATTTATTACACTGCAAAAAATAGAGATAATAAATTATTTGTGTTTTTATCTTGATTTGAGGACATCTTAATCGTCTTAAAACAACATTTGACAATATGTTCTCATTCCCAGCGAGACATTTCTTCTATTTTTTTTTCAAACAATATCAGTTTTGCTTGTCCTGTCGGCGAATCATGTTTTAAGGCAGTTTGAATGTGCTAAAATTAAGAAACGTTTTGCCAAATTTGAGCAAATGTCGACATCTTTCTCATCACTTTTTGCTGTGGGGAATCACTTTTGTAACTATTTATTTCTGTACAGGTTTTTATGACCACTATAATGTTCCAATTTCACACTAAACTTTAAGAGACGGGATATTATTACCTCTTAAAATGCCACTCTAATCATTTACAGATCACAATCATCCATGGAAAGGAAAATCATGCATCATGCTAAAGTCTCAAAAAACCCTCTTTTTACGTGAGCGTCATATACAGTTAGCATTAGCAGAGGCTGAGGAGGGGGATCGGGGGGCGAGAGAGCGAGCTCATCGTTCTGATTCGAAAGTTTCTCAAAGTCAGTTAGTGCAGCTTCTATTGGGGCATTGGGAAAGGTTTGAAGGGTCGAAGAGCAAGTCAGTTGGGTCAAGTTCCGGAGAAGTAATAAAGCTTCATGTACAGTATCTAGAGCTGACGCAACAACATTTACCATTGTGTTCTACTTCATTTTTTTTACACATATTTGGAAATCGGTGAAGAAACGGCATTGATGAGTAGGATCTGAAACCAGCAGACTGTACTTCCTTGTTTTCTTTCCAGATGAAAATGAAAACGTTCACGGTCACTATTGAATACTATTACACACAGACGAAATAACAAAAGCAGCAAATCAGGGCTAGCTTTTGGCGCACAAAGCTTACATGGATGTGCATATAGTGTTGAAATAAAATCTCTTCACCCTTCACTGCAAAAAATGACAAAATATGTGGTAATAATTTCTTGAATCAAGCGGTTTTTATCTTAATTTGAGAACATTCTGACTGACTTAAAACCAAATTTGCCAATGGGAAAAAGCCATTTAGTCTCATTTGAAGAACTGCTGCTTTATTTTCTCTGACTCCAAGTGAAAAAAATATCTTGTATCTTTTAAAAAACAAGAAAACTTTGCTCGTCCTTTTTGGCTTGTTTTAAGACAGTCAAATTTTAACCTATTTTTCTCACTTTTTGCAGCGCAGGGCTATGATTTGTATGTGATTAAGACTTGGTGTGGTCTTCTAAGTTAGTGGGTGTGTGTAAATGCAGTCTCAGTGATGAGTTAAGAGACTGTATGTTATTCTCATGTGGAGTTCCGCCATTGCCAAAGCTCTTTTCTTAAACAGTACTAATAAATATCAACTTGTAAAACATTGCGGTCATAGGGTTCCCGCCTCAGACTGGTTGTTACAGTTCTCAGTAAACTCCAACGTGGGTCGCGAGAGTTCTTGCTGCACCGCTGAGTTCTGTTTGCTCAGAGACAGTTTGAAGATGGACCCCCTGGCTGTGCCCCGCGGAGCCCTGCACACCGAGGCCCAGCAGAAGTGCATGACGCTGGGGGAGAGGAGGATAAACACCCAGGGGTCAATGATGGAGTTGATGGAGATGAAACGCAGGGCCACCAGGTCGTCCGGGTGAGATTCGGTGCGCTTGCCGATAGAATTCATGTACACGCGTATCTGTCGAGACAAGAGCAGGGAGAGGTTTGTGTTTAATTAGTGAGTTAATCCCTCTGACAACAGTCTACATCTGTGTCCCACACCCTGGAGAACATCCTGGTTGTAAATCTCTGGACATGGCAATGCAATATGTCTGTTTAATTCTCTCACTGTAAAAAAGATAATATATTAGGTAACTATCGTACTCAAATTAAGATACGTTTAGCTAATTGAATAGATCTCAAGGCAGCTCTGCTTATGTACAAGTCTCTCCATGGCCTCGCACCAAAGTATATTAGTGACATGTTAGTCCCATATGAACCAGCCCGGACTTTGAGGAGCACAGGGACTGGACTCCTGCTGGGACTCTGAGGAGCACAGGGACTGGACTCCTGCTGGGACTCTGAGGAGCACAGGGACTGGACTCCTGCTGGGACTCGGAGGGAGCACAGGGACTGGACTCCTGTTAGTGTCCAGAGTCAGGACTAAACATGGGGAGGCTGCTTTTCAGATTCATGCTGCTAAAATCTGGAACAATCTTCCTGAAGATGTGAGGCGGCTCTGGCAGTCCTGTTCAGCTGTGCATACAACTGAAGGATTGTATAGATTATAGATACTCTTTTTTTATGCATTGTGGCTTTTTATTATTTTAATCCCGTGTGTGTTTTTAATGTTTTAAGGTTTTTAATTACTTGTGATTTTATTCTGTTTTTAATGTATTATAATTTTTTATTTTTTTATTTTTAATTTATTGATTGACTGCGGAACCTTCCGCAGTCAACCATTGGTTTTGTATTTCTTTATTCCGTCATTTTTTTTGACACGTTTCACAGCTTTCACATTTTCAACAATTTCCACAAGTTATACATCAAAACGTTCCACATGTTTGGGAGATTATTGCTATTACTTTTGGGACTTCAGCGATTTCCGGTTTTTCCGCAATCGGACAAAAATCTGCATTGAGAATTCTGCAATGCATTTTAATAGGCCCATGCATTTTAATAGGACTTCAGCTCTTTCAGACATTTCTACAGTTTCAATGATTCAACAGTTTCAAGGATTCAACAGTTTCAAGGATTTCAGCAGTTTCAAGGTTTCAAGAGTTTCAAGGACTTCAACAGTTTCAAGGACTTCAGCAGTTTCAAGGACTTCAGCAGTTTCAAGGACTTCAGCAGTTTCAAGGACTTCAGTGTAATCATGCAACCTAATAGGGATTTTTCCATGTAAACCAGTATAATGCAACTTAATAGGGATTTTTCCATGTAAACCAGTATAATGCAACTTAATAGGGTTTTTTCATGTAAACCAGTATAATGCAACTTAATAGGGGTTTTTTCCATGTAAACCAGTATAATGCAACTTAATAGGGGTTTTTACATGTAAACCAGTATAATGCAACTTAATAGGGTTTTTTCCATGTAAACCAGTATAATGCAACTTAATAGGGTTTTTTCCATGTAAACCAGTACAATGCAACTTAATAGGGATTTTTCCATGTAAACCAGTATAATGCAACTTAATGGGGATTTTTCCATGTAAACCAGTATAATGCAACTTAATGGGGATTTTTCCATGTAAACCAGTATTATGCAACTTAATAGGGATTTTTCCATGTAAACCAGTATAATGCAACTTAATAGGGATTTTTCCATGTAAACCAGTATAATGCAACTTAATGGGGATTTTTCCATGTAAACCAGTATTATGCAACTTAATAGGGGTTTTTACATGTAAACCAGTATAATGGAACTTAATAGGGGTTTTTACATGTAAACCAGTATAATGCAACTTAATAGGGATTTTTACATGTAAACCAGTATAATGCAACTTAATAGGGATTTTTCCATGTAAACCAGTATAATGCAACTTAATAGGGTTTTTTACATGTAAACCAGTATAATGCAACTTAATAGGGATTTTTCCATGTAAACCAGTATAATGCAACTTAATAGGGTTTTTTACATGTAAACCAGTATAATGCAACTTAATAGGGGTTTTTACATGTAAACCAGTATAATGGAACTTAATAGGGGTTTTTACATGAAAACCAGTATAAAGGATAACAGTTTAAAGGATATCAGGAGCTTCAAATACTTCAGGAGTTTCAAAGATGTTTAAAGTATTTTAACAGTTTCAAGGATTTCAAGGATTTTTCAGCTAAATTCCACATTAGATCTGTTCCGCAGTCAATCGCAATGGCTTCAGCCATTGCAACGGTTTCTAGTTATTATTATTATTATTAATATTTTTAAATATGTTTAAAAATATATTATTATTATTATATATATTTTTGTATATATAAATGTAGATTTTAATGTTTTTGATTTGCTTGATATGATGTGTGTGGTGAGCCGCTTTGAGTTGCCTTGTGTTGGAAAGGTGCTATAATAATAAAAGTGGATTGATTGATACATTTTGGAAGCCAATACTGTAAAGTCCTAACATTTGCATTGGAACAAAACGTGCATTCTTCACTAAACATCAACAACATGCACGAGCACTTGTCCTCAGGAAGTCTGCAGGCGATGCAGCGATGCGTTCGAGGGCAGAGGATATTTGAATTAACCTTAGCATCTCTCTGTTTGCTTTTCAAATAAGGCTGAGGCTGAGAAAAACGCATGCTTATGAGTGCAGCTATGATTGTGATTGTGGGAATGCAAATAACTTTACCAAATCAGAAACTTAAAACTATTATTTGTGGATGGAGTTTTACAGAAATATCCTGGGGCTCGAGAACACACAATTTCACTACAATCCATGGAAGTTGTCACGGCATTTAGAAGCTAGTGATCTCTCTAGGGGTCCAACAGAACAATATAACCATAAAACTACCACAAATGGGCCTTGTATTTTTCATATAATTCATTTTAAGTTATGTTTTGATGTTTTTAAGTACGAGAAATCCTCAATTTAAATCTTCCTTCAGGGGATCTCTAAGAAAAGCCATTAAAATCCACTCATAACTGGCTTAATCAGCGATAACTCTGACATAAATGAACTAATGTTTGCGGCAGTAGCAGTTTCCTATGTTTGTTGAAAGAGTACTGTGGGGTATCGTAATTTTTTTTTTTTTACTCTCCCACCACTGGCAGGAAGTGTAATAAAGTGTAAAACGTTGGTGAGCTCAGAGAAGAAACACATTCCCATACAGGCCTTATTTGGTTAAATATTGTACTTAATTTGGAGGCATGTCATTATTTTTGTGTGAAATGATCTTATACTTGATATTCTCTGGTGGCAAATGAGTTATTAGGTAGAACATCAAGTGCTAGTTACCGTAGCAACACTATGTTTACTGTCAGAAGTTAGCCTTAGCCTTTTTTCTACATAATATACATACCCGAACAGACTATATATATGTATTTTGCCTTTAATATGTTTGCACACTTCTGTCTTTTACACCAATCTGAGTGTTTCTATCTTCTCCATTCTGAGGTCAGTTTGAGAAATTATCTTAACAAAAAATCTGGTTTGGCAGTTCCTCCTGTGTCATCGCTCCAGCTGCACTGACAGGGTCTGTGGGTAGAGGTCCATGAAGCCTTGTCTTTTCAATGCACGACACAGAACAGGTTCCAGACACAGAGGGCGCTGACTCTGGCGCTGACTCCAACTCTCTGGATGGAACATACATTGATAAGTATTGCTGTTTTTTGTTTTTGTTTGGACCAACAAGACAAAAATCAGGAATGTCGAGAAAATTTAAATATTTTTGCAGCCGCTTAAATTAATCATTGATAATGGGAAAGGCACTTATAATCTTTTTGCTTCTGCCTTCTCCTTTTGAGCTTTTTTATCCATACTGGCACAGATATTTGACTAAAATGCAACCTGATCTTTGGTTGTGGGCGCATGTTTTATAGTGCTTCCCAGACCTGAGGCTGCCGTATCACGTTGCATAGCAGTCTGGACTCTCATGATCGTTTATATAAAGCATCCAATAAATTATGCATTCTCACATCTTACACGTCCAATGTGCGAGCGTCTACAGCCATAACCGAAAAACAAAGCCATAAACAAAGACTAAAGCTTCCCACGGCATGCTCACTTCCTATGTGATTTGAATGATATACACCAAAGGCTTTTCTGCTTCTTCCTGCAGGGCTTAAGGGAAATGTCTGCCCATGGTTAATGTGCTTGTTCCAGAAATATATTGGAAGAGGAGAGAGGTCGAATGATGACTCAGCTCAAAGCACTGGCACCAGGCTTTACATTAGATCTACATTATCACCTGCCTGACAGAAACACTTTTATGGAACTCCTTTGTAGAGCCCTTAATCACAACAGCAGTTATCTCGGACGATTTTATAACATAAGGGGCAGATGAAAAATAACCATATATGTTGAAAAAAAGTGAAAAATTTTGTTAAATGTCAAGTGTCCTGGATCATCGCCACTGTCCTTAGACCCTCAAGCAACGGCAAAGAAAGCCTACAAAAATCTTTTCTAATTTTGAACAATTACACCCGTTTTTGAGTCCATCTTTGACCCTGTTTTTGCTCAAATCAAGTGTTTATGGGGGGCGACAGTAGCTCAGTTGGTAAAGCATTGGCCTTAGAGCCTGAAGGTCGTGGGTTCGAGCCCACCTCAAGACCTACTTCACGACTCCCACTGATGACTGCTGTCGTTGTGTCCTTGGGCAAGACACTTAACCCCACTTTGCCTGAAGCCCCCACCGAAAGATCTCAGCTCCTGTGGACTCAGCACCTGCAGGAGGATCAGTGAGGGGCTGGTGCTCTGTGAACTGGGTGCAGCTCTGACTGCCACCCCCCGACCCAGAAATGGATTAAGGGGAAGAAAATGGATGGATGGATGGAAGGGTTTATGGAATTCTTGCCTATTCTTCTTTAAATGTACCCTTTAAAGGGTCTCTGTGGATTCCTCACAGATCTGACTTTTTTGCACATTTTATATCTGATCATACACCCAAGCAGGTGACGGACCCTCCTTAAGTATAGTTACAAAGAGGACATTTAACCAAACCGTCGGAATGCCATAAAAACTCGGTTAAGCAAATAATTTATGGCTTTCTGCTGACTTTGTTGCGTCATACGTCTACAGCTTCTTCCCTGTATTCGAAGAGCACAAAGTACAGTTGTTTTTATGGACGCATCAAACTGGTCTAGCCGAACACAAAGCATGCATTGACGTCGACGGAAGTGTCTCTATAAAAATGGTTTGAATTGTACGAGATTGAGAAGAAACCTTGAACACACAGCTTCTTGTATGTGTTATTAGCGTAGAAGTATCGTCTGGAGCAGGTCAATTGCGTTACAGGACATCGCTGCTATCTCGTTTAAAATGCTAACACCACTTTACAGAGATTGCATTATTATACAGCTTTCAGTGAATAACGCAGAAGAGTGTGAGAGATTGCAGAAGCACGGCTGTCATGACCTTGTGACCTGTTCTGTCTGCTGATAAATGCCAGAATTATCAGATTAAAAGTCTCAAGTAAAGAGCTCACCACTGAAAAGGATGCTACTGCTGCACACTGCTGCGAGAACGTTATTATAATGTCATTCCGATAAATCAAGGGTGTCAAACTCATTTTGGTCGGGGGATATATCTAAAAACATTGCGTCTTTTGTCAAATTTACAGTATTTGACATGGGTTTGGCTTCAACCACAACTGGGCCAAATATCAATAAATGGTGTGTTGGAAGATTCATGGTAAAAAAAAAAATTAAGTAACTTCTAATTGCACTGTAGTTGACATTTTAGAACAAATACATTTACAAAGTTGTTTTGCTGAGACAATAGACTTTAAAATTCTGTATAAAAGGCCTTAGTAGCCCGTTACCATCAAGCAGCTACCATGGGGCTACATCGAGGAGCAAGATACAGCAAAAAGTACAGAGTTTGTCGTCATTTTCTTTTAGATGATTTCAATTTTTGTCTCTGTTTACCTAAAATCTCCTATGCTTCATATGAGCTCCATTTGAATCATTTTTTGTTAGACCGCTACTGGGAATCTAAACATTTGGTCTGTGACGCTATAAAACTGTCACTATCCATCAGGGTTCTGGTTTTAAACTCTTATTCACACGAGCGGCACGGTGGCTGAGTGGATAGCACTCTCGTCTCTCAGCAAGAAGGTCCTGGGTTCGAATCCCGGTCGGACCAGGGCCTCTCTGAGTGGAGTTTGCATGTTCTCCCTGTGTCTGCGTAGGTTTCCTCCGGGTGCTCCGGTTTCCCCTACCACTAAAAATATGTACAATAGGTCTGGCATGCGCCTCCTGTTCGGCGACCCCGCTCCCATCTCTGTGTGGAGTGAGAGACAAGTGCCCAAAAATAATAACAATTGTAAACCGCTTTGTGACTCTGGTCTGTGAAAGGCGGTATATAAATAAAGATTACTTACTTACTTACTTACGAGAGGAAATGTAAAAAATGTGGAGGTCAAAACGTTATTTGGCAACAATCTCATGAAATATTTCCTGATTTTAGTCAAGAGCCAGAAAAGATGTCCTTTACTTCAATTATGCAACTCTCTGTCATTTTGACTGTAAAGGGAGAATATATATTTTGGGCGGTAAATGATGTAGTGACAAGTGGACTGATAAATGCCAAGTTTGCCAATCTGTACTTTCTATCCAGACTTTAGTTATGGATACACAATATTTTTCGAATAACATTTGTTCATTTTTTATCTCTAAACAAGACTATTTCTGTTTGATCCAACAGGAAAAAAAATTATGTAACAAACAAAAAAGCTTTAGGTTTCTCACTTTTCTCCCAATTTTTTTTTTTTAGAGTTTTTCCTTGCCTATTGAGGAGGGTCTAAGGACAGTGGTGATGATCCAGGACATTTATGGACTTTATCTGCATTTATGGACATTGGTCACTGCCCCTCATGGTTGGAGAGGTGATGTGTAGAGCTTCAGAGCAGGGATGTACCGATCCAATATTCAGTATCGGTATCGCGGCCGATATGGCTATTTTGTAAGGATCGGATTTTATCGGATCTGTGAAATATGAAGCCGATTTACGACACGTTTCAGCATGCTCACGCTTTACACCTGCCGTAAACGCATGGGTGCAGGGCGAACATGTCTGCGGGACTATTTCTCTCAAATAGTGATAGACAAACGGCTGCTTGTAATATTTGTAAAGTAGTAGTTTCACGAGGAGGGAAAAGAAAGGCTCACTTCTATCTCCAAATTGATCCATCCCTTGGAAAAAAAACCACGCAACAGAGTATGGCCTTTACAAAAGCAAGACTGTGAAGAAAAATTGCTACATTTTTAACGCTTTGAAAATATTGGATTGGACCGGTATCGGATCGGTATTGGCAAAACAATGTTTTCGAATATCGGAATCGGATTTGAATATAGAAAATCTGGATTGGAACATCCTTCTTCAGAGGTGTATTGATAATCAGACCTAACCAGATACCGTGTTGTGTGTTTGTGCTCTCACCACTAGCGGCATGGTGCAGATGATGAAGATGATGGTCATGAATACCAGCAGGATCAGATGCTCTACCTCCTCCGCCATGGACAGGGCCCTCCGCTCGCTTTTGGACCGCAAGTGGACCACGACCGAGCCATTCCTCCGGCGCCGCTGATACATCCGGAACAACTGGTACACCACAAACAGGTTGCACGCCACTATGGCCAGCACCAGCACTAGCATCACCGTGGCGTAGAGGTTAGCATAGACGCGATTCTTTTTCGACTCGGGGTTCATGTCGATAAAACACCACGTTCCAGGACAGTACTGGACGTAGCTCCCAAAATTAGCAAACGGGGAAATGCAGAACAATGCGCTAAGCAGGAATACAGTCGGAATGGTGAAATAAGCGCATTTTCGGGTCACGTATCGGCTGTAGAGGTACGGATACCCAATCGCTAGGCACCTCTCGAACGCCATTGTCAATAATAGAGAGATAGTAGCCAGGCTGAAAAACGTCATACTCAGACCGAAATATTTACACGCCGATTCACTTTCCGGCGCCATCCCGACTAGAGTAGTGTTTTTAGCGTACGCGACCTGCACCAGAGGGCTGACCAAGCAAGTCCCGGTCAAATCCGTGACAACCAGAGCCACGATGAGGATGTGGAAAAGCGCAGGTCTTCGGTTGCCGGCCGCTTTGCTCTCCCGGCGTCTTCGGATCTCCAGGATCACCAGAGCGGCGACGTTTCCGAATATCCCCGTGCCGAACATGATGGCGCTGATGAGAGGCCCGTAGCTCGAGTCAATGTGGTGCTTATGGTGGCACGGGTCGTTTGGGTTGAACATGGCGGTTATGTTGGCGAGTTGGTTTGAAATGGATTTTATTGAAGTTTGAAGGGTTGGTTTGTCTGCTGCCATCCTGGAAGAAAACAACAGGGATTAATTCCATTCAATTAAATGTATTCTTGTATTGTCCTAAATCACAATAGTAGTTATCTCGGAGGACTTCACAAAACCATCGAATTTGTCGCCGCAGATCAGAGAATCAAACCGTTACAACACAAGAAATGAAATGATAACAACACAACTAGAGACATTGGTTCATAAAAGGCAGATGACCAATGTCCATAAATGTAGATAAATGTAGATCTAAACTAAATATTTATTATTTACACGGTACGGTGGCTGAGTGGGTAGGACTCTCGCCTCTCAGCAAGAAGGTCCTGGGTTCGAATCCCGGTCGGAACAGGGCCTTTCTGAGTGGAGTTTGCATGTTCTCCCCGTGCCTGCGTAGGTTTCCTCTGGGTGCTCCGGTTTCCTCTACCACTAACATGACATGTGCCTCCTGTACTAACCCCTCCCATCTCTGTGTGGAGAGAGAAACTATCCATCCATCCATTTTCTACCCTTTAATCCATTTCTGGGTCAGGGGGGTGGCAATCAGAGATGCCACCCAAGTCTCATAGCACCAGCCCCTCACTGACCCTCTGCAGGTGGTGAGTCCACAGGAGGACGGCTGCTCTCTGAGTGTGAGCATAGCCTTGATCTTTCAGTGGGGGCTTTGGGCAAAGTGGGGTTAAGTGTCTTGCCCAAAGACACAACGACAGCAGTCATCAGTGGGAGTCGGTGGAGAAGGTGCAGAGGTGGGAATTGAACCCACGACCTTCTGGCCTTAAGGCCAATGCTCTACCAACTGAGCTACTGTCGCCCCTGAGAGAGAAACTAATGCCCAAAAAATACCAATTTTAAAACGCTTTGTGGCTCTGCTCTGAGAAAGGCGGTTTGTAAATAAACTTTACTTACTTACTATGAAGGAGCCACAGAGACGTACATTATCATACTAGAGGAAAGAATTTGGTTATGTTCCATTTAACGTCGCTATATTTCAATTATGATGCTTTCATTTGCTTAAGCCTTTCCAAATAATCTGAGTGCTTCTATTTCTTTGTCTATTCTGCTGTAATTAAGTGACTATGAAAATGATCTCATCTCTTAACAACTTAAATGAATTAATCGCCTAATAATGTTATGATATAGTTTACATATTCTTTACAATTGCAGAAATATATTTGTGGATAAGGGGTGATGTGTGTGTAACGTCAACGTGGCCTCAAACTGTTTAAGTATTATCACTCATGACCATTTTTCTTAGTACATTGTGTATGTATTAGTAAGTAAGTAAGTTAGTAATGTCTATTTATATAGCGCATGTTACAAACCAAGGTACAGACCAAAAGCACTTTACAATGTTCAGAGTCAGATATTGTTCCAATCCTTCCACACACGGTGATGACAGAAGCGAGTCCAGAACACACTGGACCATCAGCTCCAACACCATCATTCACTCTCTCATTTACATTCATACCTATTGTGCATGTTTTTAGTGGTAGGGTAAACCGGAGGAAACCTACGCAGACACGGGGAGAACATGCAAACTCCACTCAGAAAGGCCCTGTTCCGACCTTCGAACCCAGGACCTTCTTGCTGAAAAGCGAGAGGGCTAACCACTCAGCCACCGTGTCGCTTTACTATGTTTAATGTGCCTGACCTGTCCCTTGAGTTATGTATCATGAGTAATTAAACATTTATTAAAGATGTTGTGTTGATGATGCCTTCGAGTTTTTGATGGATCGAATGTGAAAGGCTTTTTCTGAATTCTGCATGTTCTGTAAAACTTGGATCTGTTGCTGGATCTGGATCTGGTCCAAAACATGCAAAGACCTCAGTCAGTGGGTCTGCCAATAATGTCCTTTATAAGTTTGCCTTCTCTGTTTATCTTGTCAATATTTCTCAAACATGATTCATTTCTGTATCCTCCAAGCTCTCACACCAAACGTTTCAATAATAAGTCATAATTAGATGTTTAGGCCTAAATAAGTACATAAGTGTGAATGCAAACGTTTCCAGGACATTTTGGAGAATTGATTTTGATCTGTTAATCTTTTGAAATGCAAGAAATTCAAGGATTGTTTTTTCTCTTCTGCTTCCTCACACAGCTGCCTTTTGTGGCTTTTACGGTTGATTCTCCTCAAGCTGAGTCATAACGATCATTTCTCTGCAGCTGTTGCATTACGAACATACAGCACATACCACAATAAGGACTTTATGTTTCGTTGCCATTTCATACACGCGCGCAGAACGTTCTTTTAACTTTCATTTTGCTCAGGAGAGTGTCAAAGCTGATTGGCCACTCACCTGCAGCTCTGTCCATTGTGCCAAACGCGCACTCGGTCTTGTGGCAGATAAACAGTCACAAACAGCGCGCTCGGAGCCTGAAGCGAATTGAATTACGGCCAGATGTGCCCCGGTGACGCGTGTGGCATGGGGCTCCTCTGAGGTGATCTGAAAAGGATAGATGTGCAGGGTATAATTCAAAACAGCGTCAAAAGTTCCTGTGGAGTTATTCAGACGGACAGAAACAGCAGCTCAACGTGGGCGTCATTTGCACTGAATCTGTCAAGACACGTGCTGTGCTGGGCCGTGCGTAAAAGTGGCTAAAAAGAAGAACAGCGAGTTTGGTGATGGGTGAATATGTCAAAAACAAAACACAATTAAATAAAACGTCATAATTATCTTAACGCGCCCCCGGAGATTAAAATTATGGAATGTTTGAAGTCCTCACCTTTTGTTTGCGTAGCTCCGGTGCGTAAACTTGTGCGTAATTCTCTCATACAAATAAAATCCAGCTTTTATTAGTGATGTATAGTTTGCTTTGGAGTTCAGTTGTTGCTCTCTTTTTATGTGGATCTGGGCAGAGCCACCGACCGCCGTGATGAGGGAGGCAGCGCGGTGGTGATGTAAGCGCCTTTACGCACGCCCACTGCTTCGTATGCGGCTGCCAGGGGTTCAAAAGCATCATTTTGAGGAAGAGTGACCCAATGAGCATCTCTCCCAGGGGAAACATTTGATACGCTTCTAATAATGGACCCCCAGATTAGTGAAAGGAACGCAGGCAGAGGCGGAGTGACTAACAGAAGTGACAAAGCCGTTTTAATACCACTAAAAGTCAGTATTAAAACTACAATTGAGCGGAGTGCGATGCATTCACTTTTATTGTTCTATGTTGTCTGTTTTTTCGTGTGCTAGGTCTTGTCTATTTTTTGTTCTGGACTAAGAGTCTGTAATAAAGCTGTCTGTCCGTCTGTCTGTCTGTCTGTCTGTCTGTCTGTGTGCCTACCTACAAACCAACCAACCCTTTCCTAACAGCTTCAAAACAAGAAAAAATCCCCGGGTAACTGCAATTTTTTTTAGCAATTGACCGACCCAACCTCTCGCATTTGTTTTAACAGATGCTCAAATAAATAAATGATATAAGATAATGTATAACAACATGAATTAACCGCTGTTTTTTATGTTATTTAGACTGAAATATTTCGACTTTGATCTTCTCTAACAATAGTCGACCCCTTTCTGCCACACACAGTAAACGTTGTGCGAGTGTGGTTATACCTGTGAACCAATTTGCTTATTACAACAACAAATGAGGATAAAGATAGATGAATAATAACAATGTAATGCTTCCTGTATACTCTTGTGCATAACAATATATAGTAAGGCATTAGTGCTATGGGTTCAAATATTTTTCTACATGTTGATTTTGACATCATTGCACATTATTGTCCCAATGCGTAACATGAGATCATTGACAGTGTTCATCAGTCTTCATTGTTCATTGTACAGTCTGACAGCAGCAGGAAGGACAGACATGCAGAACCCTCACACAGCAAGGGTATGCCAACCGATTTGGTGGATTTACTAATAATATACTAATCTATATTCTGAAATACCATAACCATAACATACTCATATTTTTGTTTTATTTTTAACAAATATTGCTCTTGGTTGTTGCTCTCTTCAGTTTCTCGTAACCCTTTATTCTGGCTACAGCTTGACCACAAACATTGTTGACCCTGGTTGATGTGCCACGAAGTTATTACTGCTTTAACAATGTGTATAATCAATTCTAATCAGGCTTTTTCATCCTTGATACTTCTTGGTTTCTCTCTGGAAGCTCTGAAAATCAAAATGCAGCTCTAACGATGTGCTCTTAATTATGTTTCATTTCTATGGACCTTGACGATGCCAAGTTTTTAACCATAACACCACAGAATTACCCTGTAACCTTGCTTACCGTACAACCTTCCAGGCAGTTATAGCCATAATGGAAAGCACTGTTTAAGTAATGGCAGATCAATATTCATACAAGGCAACATTAGATTACTACAATGATCCATCAACATGTTTAGAGCTCTCACATGAGTTTAATTGCTTGGAACTTTTCATATACTTCAAAACGGTTCCCACTTATACTGTCGTCTTGAGCTATATGTGTAGGAGGTGATAGTTCACAACCTACACTTATTTATAGTTTGGTCTGACTGTGGAATCCTGGCCATGCTTTCCCCCTGTCACTCCACTTTTCGCTAATTTATTTTAGTTGGACAAGGGTTCACTACCTCTTAATTGCACTTGATACAAAGGCAGGTGTCAGTCAGTACCTGAGGCTGTTTACAGAGTGGGTGCTAATTACGACAATGGCATTAACATTAATTGGTCAAGTTAGTAATAGTAATTCTTCCCTTCATAAATGCAATGTAACTGGTAACTGTGGTAGTGACTCGGGTGTTGGCCCAGCATGGCTTGTTATTGAACGTGTCTAATTTAATTACCCATGAATGCACAAATCCACTGCTTAAGTGATGCGCCGCCCAGACACTGTTGGCAAAGGCCCTGACCACTATACCTTTATCACAGACCAGACTGGAACGTATTCTCCCATTCTTTCTTTCTTTCTCTCTCTCTCTCTCTCTCTCTGTCTCTCTCTCTCTCTCTCTGTCTCTCTCTCTCTCTCTCTGTCTGTCTCTCTCTCTCTCTCTGTCTGTCTCTCTCTGTGGCTCTCTCTCTCTCTCTGTCTGTCTCTGACTCTCTGTGACTCTCTCTCTCTCTCTCTCTGCCTGTCTCTCTCTCTGTCTCTCTCTCTCTCTCTGTCTCTCTCTCTCTGTGGCTCTCTCTCTCTCTCTCTGTCTCTCTCTCTCTGTGGCTCTCTCTCTCTCTCTCTCTCTCTGTCTCTCTGTCTCTCTCTCACTCACTCTCTCTGTCTCTCTCTCTCTCTCTCTGTGGCTCTCTCTCTCTCTGTCTCTCTGTCTGTCCCTGCCTCTCGTTGTCTCTGTCTCTCTCTGTCCCTGTCGCTCTCTCTGTTTCTCTCTCTGTCTCTCCTTCTCTCTCTGTGGCTCTCTCTCTCTCTATGTGGCTCTCTCTCTCTGTCTGTCTCTCTGTATGTCCCTGGCTCTCTTTCTCTCTCTTTCTCTCTGTCTCTCTCTCTCTGTCTGTCCCTGTCGTGTCCCTGGCTCTCTCCTCTCTGCTCTCTGTCTCTCTCTCTCTGTCCCTGTCTCTCTCTGTCTGTCCCTGTCTCTCTCTGTCTGTCTCTCTCTGTCTCTCTGTCCCTGTCGCTCTCTTTCTCTTTTTCTCTCTCTCTGTCCCTGTATCTCTTTCTGTCTGTCTGTGTCTCTCTCTCTCTCTCTCTCACTCACCCTCTCTCTCTGTCCCTGTCTCTCTTTCTGTCTGTCTCTCTCTCTCCCTCTCTCTCTCTGTGTCTCTCTCTCTCTCTGTTAATGGTCTACATCTTGAATCATTGATGAGTGTATTGATTGAGGGAACACTGATACGATGTTCAGAAAGGAAAAGATGAAATGTCAGACAGAAGTTGACATTTTTAGCAGCAGCACTAAAAGGCTCGTATTGCGTAGTTTTCCGGTGAACAATTTGGTGCTATTTGGTGATCTGTATCTGGTTTTTTAAATAAACACAATGGACAAAAAGTTGCATAGTTTTGCCAAAATAGTCTAAACTGAGAGCAGTGGTAAATGTCACGCGTTCAGATTTGTTTCACTCGTATTTGTCGCCACCTTCTGGTTTGCATCGGTACGTACACTCGAAATAAACATCCATAATCCATCCGCTTCATCTTCCGCTTCATCCGTTGCCTGTGTTTTAAGTTTGAAGATGATATATTAAGGGCAATGTGTAGCTGCATTAAAAAGATGACTGCACCAGATTTAGCAGTACTTTCCACCTTTAGCCTTTGACCTAAGCACACACTCCACACACTCCCTTCTGCTCATCCGGGGGAATCTTGAGGCGTTCCCGGGCCAACGGAGAACGATGGTCCCTCCAATATTTCCTGGGTCTTCTCTAAGTTCTCCTAAACATATATTATGAAACCAATTATTTGTCTACTCACTTATTCATGTGACAGAGTTATAGTGAGATATTGGTGGACTTTCTTTCTTTACTCTATTTACTCTCCATATATTTATGACTTTTCTTTTTACAACAGCGCGCAAAAAATGTCTGCAATTTGTAGAAAGGCCGCTGTGGGGCGCAAAAAACCTATTATTGAAGAGTTCATTTCTGTCCGTGTCATGGATCTATTATAACATCGGTTAAAGTCACACAACATTGTGATTATTGCGTAATATATATTGTTATTGTAAATTCTGTCCATCTTTCTCTGTTCATGGACAGTTTGACCATCCTGCTTAAGCACCATGACATCATCTTAACCTCAAAATGTGGAAAAGGATGGGTCTTAAGTTGCATTATAAAAACACACCATATGTCTCGTTTAATTTGAACCAGATGTTGCCTCCTCATTCTACCGCGTGCTCCGATCTGCTGTCAATCAAAGAGCCCTGCAGCCAATCAGCGTGTCGGCAAAGTTGCGCTGGCCCCGCCTCTCGGTCGCGGGGTATCAGAGGCTGCGTAGAGGAGTCTCAGTCCATCCGTCCAGCTCTCTCTGCTCTGAACTGTGAACATGGACAGGGGGCAAGCGTTGGCCGTGTGGCTGCTGTGCTTCTGCGGCGGTCTGCGTCTGGCCTCGGGCATCACCAGGGCCGATCTATTCTCCTATGGCTATAACACTGGAGACCTCATTCTGGCTGAAGGCGACGATGAGACGTCCAAAGTGCTGACCCTGCCGAGACCCCTGTACTTCTACGACACATCCTTCATGCAACTTTATGTGAGTATGCATTCTATTAGTTTCAACTCTTTCATTGAACTTGTGGTTATCAATTTTCATTCAGTGGATGTGCAGAAGAGCAACAGTTTTTTTTGCCATTTTTTCCTAGAGTTCAATAAGTGCAATTTATTATAGGCTCTGCATATACTTAGCCTCTGTATTGCACATCCAAGCACTGTTATATCATGAAAAATTGCTTTGCATTTCAGGCCAATCCAAAGATCCACTCCAATTCAATATTATGCACGCTTATAAACATTAGGTATGTGTTTATGGAGAGGTTGTGATAAATCTCAGATGTGAATTCAATGTGGGACTTTTTAGCACTGTTGTCCATTTGGGAAGAGTGCTTTGTGGGACCTGGCTTGGGGCTTAAGAGAAGTTATTAGTGATTTACTGGGGGTTCTACAAGTCTATTAAGTAGTTATTGGAGTCCATAAGAGAAATCCAGTGGTTTTATGTAGGGATAAACCAAACGTCACTTGTGCCTTGGTTAGCTAATCCTAACCCTAATGTTGCATCACCGGTTGGTTACAGAACAGTAGGAATGAGGTGCAGACAGTAAGAAATCTACTTTAACTAAAGCATAAAAAGAAGCAAGTATAAAATCTCCAACTTCAGCATAATGAAGAAGCAAGCAATAACTACAACATCTCTGACTTTTGCATAATAAGAAGTTAGTGTGAAGTCTATATCTTTAACATAATAAAGAAGTAAGTATGTCTCTGTTTCTAACTCTTTAGGTGGCTACCAACGGCATCATCTCAGCCCAGGACCTCCCAATGGAGAAGCAATACGTCGATGATGGGTTTCCCACTGATTTTCCGGTCGTGGCGCCTTTCCTGGCTGACATTGATACAAGCAATGGTCAAGGACAAATCTACTACAGAGTGACTGAAACTCCTCGGGTGCTCAACAGGCTGGCTCGGGTAAGAAAGCAAAAGTTTTATATGTTTCAGTAGAGGCTAGACTTGTTGTTAATAACTGCATTGGGTCTGCTTTTTTGCCTATTTCCATTAGTCTCCATTCATTCATTCATTTGCTCATACAGGAAGTGCACAGAGGATTCCCAGATGCAAAGTTCGTACCGACTCACGCTGTCGTGGCGACCTGGGAGAACGTGGCGGCGTATGAGGACGACCCCAAAAGAAGGCCCACCAACAAGGTAAATGAATGAAGCACGAGCGATATTAGCAGCTGCATGAACAGAAACCAAGATTCCTGGGAACTGCGCATTACTTGTGATTTTCCTAAAGTGAGGGTCTTATTTGTAATCCTTGACCCCCTCCCTAATCTGCCTCTTAACCTTTTCCCGAGGGGGTCTAGGGTCATCTTTGGGGGTCATCAGAGTGGCCCCCGTTCCACTTGTTTACGCCTCCTTCTTCTTCTCCGGTTCTCACAGGTAAAAAGAGGCTTCACGCTTGGATTAACTGCCACTTCCTCCCCAAGTTAATAAATGCAGATGTGGAAATTAGCTTAGCATTGTACGGCGAGGGGAAGATTAGGCCTGGCCCCTTGTGCAAAGACAAGCGTGTAGGATGTATTGATCAAACGGGACTTTGTTGTTGGCAGGGCACAGCGTGTGGGATGAAGGGGCTGGTGGGTTGGACAGCAAACCGACTGTTTACTCTGAGTTCATTTAAGGCTTCCTCTTCTCTTCCTCCATTGGCAGAACAGACAGATTTAGAGCGCTTTGTTTAACCCTGTGTGAGATTTGACCAGTCTCAGATTTCATTGTCAGACGCTCTTCCAGACAGGTCACTTGTTTGTTCAGGCTCAGGGGCTGGCGTGCAATTAATGAACAATTGCGTAGGAATTTGTGCGCTCGTGATATATTTTAAGACCCCTACTGATAACTTTGTGCCAAATTTAGCATCAAGCTTAAGTTAGTTACTCAATAGTCACGCATGAGCAAAGACTTTCCAAACACAGCTATCTCTGCTCTTATCAACACCACTCTTTCCCCAAATGCCTTTCTGCTTAAAATTCCCATCATTGACAAAGGTGCTTATGTTTAAATTGGCTTAGAACTGACACAATGCTAGCTTTTGCAACGGGCCAGTCCCAAGCCAACGAGCATAGGCAATTAATACATTAGCACACAATCACTGCTTAGCTTTTCAGCACATATTCATTAGTGGTTGCTATCTCTACTCTTTTTATTTTATCATTGACTGAAGACTGTTGGTTTTGTCATTTAAAAGCAGATAGTGTCGGATAAAGCTGCTCTGCCCAATTTTGGCCGAGGATTTGCTCCAATGCCCCCTCTCTCGGCCTGATAGCATCTGTCTTTGAAGTCACTATAGCCAGAGGTGCGGGTGGGTCTGCGTTGGGGGGTGTGGCGGCACGCATTGGTATGTCTGTGTGAACTGATTAACCTATAGGTGTGTTCCTGTCACCACGGTTCGCCACACTGGGAATAAAGGGGGGGAAGGTGGTCCCAGTCGCTGCTGTGATTTGGAGACGAGTGCGAGGCAAAGGGTCGAAGATTGGTTCTCACACTTCTCGAGTAGACATGTGTTTTTGTTTGAAATTAGCCACTTAGATGGGCTGCTATCATAATTGGCGTGTAATTACATCCTTTTTAGGGAAAACACACAGTCTGTTGTCTCTGCTACTATGTCAAGAGTTTGCTAATGACTAAAGCCATTTACTTGAAGGCCTTCTGTGTGTCATCAGTAAGGTTTAGCTTAAATGGGTGCTTTTCCTTGACCAGTTTATTGCATGGAGTCTCAGCACATTAGGTAAAAGGGTTAGGTTATAGAGTTTTCCTATACCATGCGTTAAAACGAGTTTGAAATGACGGCAGACTTTAAATTCGTAATTGAAATAACAAAGCCAAGGCCGTTTCAATTTGCCAAAACGCTCCCCAAGAAAAAACTCGCCTCTCTCCAGCACAATATATATTTATTATAGCATATTTGCTTTCTTAGGGACCTCTTGCTGTGACATGGAGCACCCCTTGAAATGCTCGTCGGGATTCAAAGCAAGCTGTTTACGCTTGCTTCTTTGGTCGACGACTATTTGATTTTACTTTAAACAGTCACTAATAAGAGCTTATATGTGCCTTAAGTCCACCGTGGAATTGTGGGAAAGGCTGGCCACCGAATATGGCAACATCTCGTCATTGCTAATTACTGGTTTAGCGGCAACATGGCTCAAATTCACCGACCATTTGAGTCTAAGAAAAGCAGATATATTTTCCACTTGATTATAAAGATCTTTACTTTATGATCTTGCTAAGGACCCACTGTGTCAACATTTAGCTTAAACTGAATTTTTGTATGCAGAATTTGTGGAAGAAGGGGGGATGATAGACCAGGGGTGTCGAACTCATTCTAGATTCAATCACAACTGGGCCAAATATGTAAAATATACGTAATTGAATGTTGATAGTAAAACATATTTGGCTTAACTAACTTCTAAATGACATGTTAGTTTATATTTTAGAATAGATTCAATTATATGGTTATTTTTTCCACTAAACTAAGCTTTAAAATGAAGTATAACATGGCTTAGTACTCCATAACAATGCTGCAAGTGACTGTAGAGATTGAGAGAACAAATGTCCAAGTATTTTTGGAGTGGACTGTGGACTGCGGTGATGTTGGTAGTTACACATATTCTGGAGGTTCCCACGCTGCAGACGTCTCAGTTGGTCGCACTCTGGTGAGGCTGGAAACTGGTCCACAGCTGTTCCTTGTCTCTACTCCGCTGGTTTCTGTTGCACTGCGGCCAAAAAACATTGAAAAACCACATGCAGCTTGTAAGCCTCGCAGACAGAACTCTCCCTTCTCCTAGAGCAGGATCAAGTCTGGGTGATTATTGTGTGATATGGTTGGTGCACTGCGTGTTCACTCTTCGTTCACAGCTACGTCCCTTATCTTTGTCCGCAGACACAAGATCATAATGTACAAATCATATATGGCCTTGTACGGTTGATTCAATTTTCAAAAGATCCCATCAGAAAGCAAATATCCAATGTGTTTGGTCTCCACGCTGCAAAGAAGCTGCACAAATATAGCTACATGTTTCTAAATTTGAGCACATTCTGATCGTCTCGAAACAAGATTTGCCTATGGGACAAAGCGATTTATTCTTCTTTCAGGAACTGTTGGTTTGTTTTCTCATTCCAAGAGAGACATTTCTTGTATCATTTAAAACCAGATAACTTTGCTTATCCCATTGGCAGTAAAAATGTGCTCAAATTTAGAAACATGTAGCTATATTTGTGCAGCTTCTTTGCAGCGTGGAGACCAAACACATTGGATATTTGCTTTCTGATGGGATCTTTTGAAAATTGAATCAACCGTACAAGGCCATATATGATTTGTACATTATGATCTTGTGTCTGCGGACAAAGATACAATTTCATATTTTTACGCAGTGCACGTACACTTGACCTGTAGTACATCAGTTATCGCCTCAGTCTTTTCCCGTTAACCCTTTAATGGTTTCCTTAACCATTTGGTGGATCACTTTTTGACTGACTATACTGTATCTATTTGAAGCTTGGAAGTGAAACCTACATTATTGTCTGCATCACTTTGTTTTAGGCTCAAACTGAATCTCAACCATCATTAAAAACTTTGCTTTCTTCAAGGAGAGAACATTCAATTATTTAAAAATATTGTACTTGCAAAAATAATGACTTATATTAGCAATCTTCAGAGTCACTTTACAAGTCCAATTATTTTCCCGGCTCAGACAGACAGGTACAGTTGTCATAGCCAGTCTACCGTAAAATAACCCTAAAATAACCCCGTAGACACTTGCAGGTGTGCTCCTATAGGCCATGGGCTTACATTGAAATTGTTAAGTAAGTGTTGAAATAACAAAGTGCCTTTTAATGAATGAAGAGCCATTATCTCAATCCGCTTCCTGCGTTTGCTTTAATCTGCTGTGTTGTGTTTTGGGAGACCCCCTGATGTGCGGCCGACTGATGCTGTTATCACCTCCAGCTCCAAAACAGTCAACACAGCAAACATTTGTGTGGATAAGAACCTGCCTTTGTGGACGGGACACCCTTTTAAAAGAGGTGTGATAAACCGCCCTGGGGAGAGAGAGAGACGTCGACCCGGGACGTTTAAAGGGGGGAGTTTTTAGACGTCTCCGAGCTTCAGTCTCTTCAGCTCTCCACTGGTCCTGATGCTCTTTGATGTGTTGGAAGCAATTTGTAGTCGTCCAGCTGTGTGTATAGAGAGCCAAGGATAGTGTGTAAAAGCATGGCCACACACAGCAAGAAGTGATAAAAAAGAAGTAAAAAGGGCTCAAATTTAGCTCAAAGTATCTTCATTAAAGCACATTCTAACTGCCTTAAAACAAGGCTTCCCAATGGGACAAGAAAAGCAAAAAAAAAAATAAAAAAATTTTAAATGCTAAAATATGAGGTCATAATTGCTTTAGTTGTTTCTATCTTTATTCGAGCACATTCTGAATGTTTTAAAACAAGATTAGCCAATGGGTCAAAGCCATTTGGTCTTGTTTCCAAGGGAGACATTTCTTTTTTAAACAAGATTATTTTTTATTATTTTGCTCGTCCCATTGGCAGATCATGTTTCACGGCAGTCAAAATGTGCTCAAATTACCGGTAAGATACATTTAGCCAAATTTGATCATTGGAAAGGTAAAATACATCAGATTTTTTTCCAATAAATATGAAAAAACACTTGATTCCGGCATCTACATCTCATGTTTAAAAGTGAAGTTCAGAGTGATTATGATGTCATTGCTCATGCCACCTAAAAAGACTAAATCAGTGGAAATGCATAACAGAACAGGGCCAGACTGAAGCTACATCACAGCTGGTCTAAACTGGACTCAAATCAGGACCAAACCAGACGCACATGACCAATAAGTGAATAGGAGAGTGAAATGTTGTGGTAGAATTAGCCGTTGTGGACTTTGCCTTCTGCCTCAGGCCATGAGCAGCGCACACGGACCATGTTACCGTTAGCATTATAAAGCTTCATTTTTTGTTCTGCAATTCCTGGTCTCTATGGAGATATTCCTTTCCCGTGAATGCATGGTAATAAACATCTTTAAGCAATCTTCACGTTGAGCCGGTGACACCATCTGGACCGTGCCGAGGGTCATACAAAAACCCATAATGAAATGAATGAATTTGTAGTGTGGTAGTTTCACAGTATTCTCAAAGTATTTCAG